GCCATCTGCCTGTTCTGCTTGGTCTTATTCTGCAGTGGTCCCAGCGCCTCTGAGAGGTTGGCCAGCTTCATCATGGCATCCATCAGCTTCTGTTCCGTGTTATTAAGCTTACTGGCCATCTGTGCAGATAGCAGAAAGGACGGCAATTTGTGATAGCAGCTGAAAAGGTAATTAAGATGTCAAAAGACATTGTCTAGACATTGCACCCTGTTCATGGTACCTCAGAAATGGAAGAATTAGTGTTGTTGAGGTTCTCCTCAGCATTCCTCAGAGCCTTTTTGGCTGCATCGACGGCCTTCTGCGCGTCTTCCAAGGCCTGCTTCGTCTGGTTGCTAATGTCCTTCACCCCATCTGCCTGCATCCTGCACAGAGGATTCATATCCCAAGAATTATCAATATGCCTGTCTGATTTAAACCAGTCACTCCACAAAGAGCAGAGTGTAGTACAGTGGTGCATACAAACTGCCAACATAAGTCATTTTTGCATTTGTAAGTTTCGAGCTGGTCAAAGTATTGTGATAATGCAGTATAAGCTGCAATTATTACACATTGAAACTACTTAAGTTCCCTGTTTTGCTTTTACTTCTTTTAACAAGTGTTTTCATGTGGTTATAGGGGAGACTTGGCTTAGACACTTACCTTAGCAACTTTGAACAGGGTACTTAATCTGAATTAGTTCCAAAAAATATATAGCCATACAAATGGGTATAACTAAAGTGTATATTCTTCTAACAGAAAATTCAAATAGAAAGTCATATATTACAACAGTTATCTCTCTCCTAGGTTCTTTAGCGCTCTCGCTCTCTTACTTGACATCCTTTGCCTTTTGTAGAAGGTCCATGGCTTTCTGAAGCTCATTGAAAGTGTGGTTGAAGATGCTCTCAGTGTTGGTGAGGTTGACAATGCTCTTTTTGATCTCCTCCACGATTTTGAGCAGGTCACTAGCATTGAGTGGTAGGGAGATGTTCAGCACCTTCTGCGCCACCTTCTCAATGCTCTCTGGATCTGCGCCCTCCTCTGTAAACAGGCCAGTGAGCAAACAGCCTCGGTTAGCCATGTGTTACTTCATAAATGATATTAGCTCTAGGGCCATGAAGAAAAAAATTTGATTTTTAACCACCTTCTGTCCAATGGGTAACCTGCTGCTAGAACAGGCTCCAGGCTTACTTAGCATTGGATAAGAGGTTATAAAGCATGGGTAGTGTATATATGTCTTAAGACTTATTTTAATAACTCCAATATTTAAATATACAAATTGAAACAGTTCCTTCAAAGCTATTTAAGTAGAGCAATTGCAGTAAAAAGATTCAAAGACAAGCTAAGAAGAAAAAAACCTTACATCAAAAAAGACTCAACTGACCTGTGAGGAAATCTCTGATTTCCTTGATAAAATCCTTCAATTTCTTGTTGGAATTTTCAAAATAGGCCTTCTTACTCTGTGCTTTTTCCAGAGTCTCCATGGCCTTCATCTTCACATCACTGGTAAGCATTCTCACATCACGGAGCTGTATGCAGAGCCCGTGGATTGCATTCATAAGCATATCGCGAGCACACGGCAATCACTCAGCAGCCAGACATACCAGGCTGCAAGCTCACACAGTCATTCACAAAAATAGGCAGGAAGTCATTCACCCGAGGCCAATTCTAGCTCTAGACCATGCTGGAGCATTTCTTTGTAAATCTAGCAAAATCCAGCATTGACTACAATTAGTGCTACAGTAGACTCGTTAAGTACTGTAAGTGTTTTAAGTTTTTGTCAAAAGTAATTTTCCGAAAGGATGCAGACAGACCTTCTTAGCGACCACATCTAGCTCCTCGTTAACAATGTTGATGTTCTGGGTAACATTGTTGGCCTTCGTTAAGGCTCTCGCTGCAGCACTCACAGTCCCGGAACACCCCTCTCCTCCACAATGCCTTTGTCCTTCATTGTCCTTACAGCCAGAGCCCCCACAAAGACTCTTTGGGCAGGTGCCATTATCGGTGAGGTTCCCATGACCACCGCACACCTGAATGGAGACGGCAAGGTTCAACAAGATCAAGCCAAGAGCCTGTGATGCACAAGAAACTGCTATAGCATATGTTCCTTCAAGTAAGAAGACCCTTACAAGAGTTAGGCTATACACCACCATGATGGCAAGCACAGAGATTCAACAATGAATACTAACCATGAGGGATCCCAAATACATCCCATAACTTCTAAAGAAAGTGTTTCTCACTTTTTCACTCAGGTTCCGCACAGTCTGGTCCAGGCCTTCGATTTCCATCTGAAGATTGGCCAGGGATTTGTTCTGGGCAGCCATCATGCGCAGAAGACTGCCATGATTACTGGCAAGCAGGTCTTCAACCTGCTGGCGCGTGTCAGCAGACTGGGTCACGGGGCTGTCCGGGCCTGACACCGAGGAATTGCACAGGTGCTCTGCGTTCTGGGACTCCCTGTAGTACTTCCGCACTCTTTCAAACTGCTCTGCGGAACACAATGCGACACCACCAATGACTCGGCATGAGTGAAGACTGGGGAGAGAGTATCTAGTGGTAACACCTACTTACTCCCTATGCAACCCAGCACAGCTCATAAAGGAAGATGGAGTTCATTACAAAACAGACCAAACTAACTTCAAGACTAGATGGTGTACAGCTTAAATGCTCAGTTATAAGACTGATAGCAATTTTGACAAAGTAGAATAGAATAGAATAGAATAGAATAAACCTTTATTATCCCACGAATGAGAAATTTAGGTGTTACAGAGCTCTTATACAAAAGTAATGTAGAACAACAAGAGCAGGTAGGTCAGTTGTCTATACACACAACCAAAGTTTTAGAAATAAATAAAGATGTACAGAGAAATGTACAAAATGTACAGAGATATGTACACAAGTGTGGGGTGGGGTGGGGTGTGAATGATCCTGGTGAATATACAATGTACACTCAAGCTGCAAATCGGTAACAGCCGTTAAAGACATATGATATGTCCGTTAGACAGTATATGAGTAGAAAATACTCACGCTAAAACTGTGTTATAAAGTCTGACAGCTGCTGCTAAGAATGACCTGCGGTAGCGCTCCTTCCTACACTGTGGGTGTAGAAGTCTATTGCTGAACACAAGTAAGTGTGTTCAGTTTGTTTAGCTAAGATTGTTACAGCTAAGCACAAACCTTTCTCCAGGACAGAATAACTTAACATACACATTAACTATAATATACAATGAACACCACTAAAATGTCAAAATCAGCCACCTGCTCCCACCTTTCAGAATGAAAAAAACAAATAAGCAATAAAATAAACAAATAAGATGCTTAAATCCTAGTTCATGAGAACAATCCTAGTTCAAGAGAACAAAGAGCAAAAAGAGAAAGATTTAATTTCATCAGTAACTAAATGTACTTTGGTATTCTGGTACTGAAGGGCAAAGAACATGGGAGAGTTGCGGCCCACTGCGAGATGCTGGAATTCCAAAGCACGGCCCTGCAGGAAGCCTGCACATGTTTCACTGAGTGTTTATGTCGCCGCCCTACCTGCGAACCCAGCGTTAAGCAGATTGTCCAGGTCGTGACGCTTCTGAGCTAACGTGATGTTCATGTCTCTGAGGTCCTCCTCTACTTGTGTCAGGTTCCAGCGCAGCTGTCCCTCGGCCACCGCGGTGTCATTCAGCTCATTGGCCAAGCCCATCAGTCGGCCGTCAGTCAGCGCAATCTCCTCCCTGGTACAGAAAAGGAGGAGACATGCTGAGATAATGAAAGATCAGATCAGTACAACTGATCTTAAGACATCACTCTGCTGGCTAAGGGATTTGAACTGGTGACAGGCTCCAAATCATTAACATGATATAGAACATGCTGTTCTCTTGCCCAATATATAAATAATATGTAAAAATAAATAAAGTCACTAAAGCAAGACAACAAAGAACGGCCCAGGTACTGTTCAATGGCTATCAAATATGATTCTGTGTCAGCCCATGTGACAGTGGTTGTAGTATAAGAGCAAAGAGCACCACCCTATTCTCACTGCAAAGTGTTACATGAAAAGCATGATGCATGGCCACCGTACCTCAGCTCGTCGAGGGCCTGGCTGATCAGCTCAAAGACCTCATCTCCCACCCCACTGCCAATCAAATCCCGGATGGTGGCTAGCTTCCTCTCCAGGTCCCGAATGCGACTGTCGCCGATTCCTGGGGCGACGCCAGTTTCCTGAATCTGCCGAACGATGTCTCTGATTTGATCCAGGTCCTTCTGCAGCTCCTGCACCACGGTGTCCCATTGTTTGAAGCAAGGGTGGCAGGGATTGCAGTGGGGAAATCTGCCAGTGTAGCCGCGTGCGCACGTGTCACAGAGGCGCCCCATCGCCTTCTCCACACAATCGCACTCCCCCGTCAGTGGGTTACACTGCTGCGTCCTGGAGCCCTCTGGGTGACAATTGCATTCTGGGTAAAACAGCAAATTCAGAGAGGGATGCCAGGTAAATGGGGATCCTGCTTCCAAGGCATGCAGCTTAATCTTCTGAAACGGGTTCAAGCCCATCAAAGTCTCAGGAAAACAAGCTGCTTATAAGTGTCGTCTCCTGTTTTTCCAGCTACACATTGCTGTTGAGCATAATATTTCCAGATTATCTTAAGATTAATTTCCTGTAAGAAATTACTAAGTTACTAAATTGCCTCACAGCAGCCACCTGAACAAAAAATAGGCAAATAAGCAGAAATAGGCAGAGAAAAAAATATTAATTTGCACAGAACACATGAGAGGAAGCTAAGTGGCATTAATGGCTTCAGCAAAAGACGGCAACAGCAGCAATAATAAGGATGAAGACTAACTTCATACCTTGGCACCTGACCTCAGGGTCTCCCCAGGAGAACTGAGGACACTCGGAGCAGTTCCTTCCCCCGAACCCGGGGCGGCAGTGGCACTGTCCACTGAACTGGAAGAGTGGAGGTGGGAATTCAGGGTCAGATGGACAAGAGGAACTAATTACACAGGATCCACAATGTGGGCTTGTTATCATGGGGCACACTCACTGTTAGCTATATCATTTCTTCCACACTAACACCAAGAAAGGTTTGAATCATTTAAACGTTCAGTACCAGTCAAAAGTTTGGACACGCAAAGCAGCCTACAAAGAAGAGTGATTGCATCACATGACCTGGTCACTTTACCAAAACACAGTAGAAATGGTTTTGGAGGAGTTTCACCAGAGTGTGAAGAAAAAGCAGCCAATGAGTGATCAACATATATTTGGGACCTCCGCAGGAGGCCACACCATGAAACTAGTGTAGACGAGAAGGTAAGGTCAGTCAGTCCCTAGAGCATTTGATGTTAAGGGCCTTGCTTAAGGGCCTAATGGTGGAATAACTCTGCCAACCCTGAGATTTGAACCAGCAACTTTCTGAGTCTCAATTCACAGAGATGGTCCCCCAACAAATATTTTTTTTTGTTTGATACTTGGTCAGTGCATAATTTCATGTGTTATTTTATAGTTCTAACGTCTTTATAATTATTCTAAAATGTAGAGAACAGTACAAATAAGCCTTTATATGGACAGGTGTGTCCAAACTTTTTATTGATACTATATGCAGACAGGAAAATCAAAGTGAAATAAAAATACAGGAAACTATATATGTAATTGAACATCCCCACCCTCCCAGGAGATGCCCAGTCACCTGGTTGCAGTGTGACCCGGCAGCGTGGCCAGGGTGGCAGCCACATGGCTCGCAGCCCCAGTCTGTCCCGAAGTTCCAGTGGTTGGCTGCACACTGGTCGCAGTTGCGTCCTACCACACTGGGTCGGCACAGACACGCCCCCGTCTGCTGGTCACAGGAACAATGACCCCCTGTGCAGTGGGCCGGCAGCGTGCCCGCCGTCACACAGGTACAGTCTGCGAAGGGCATCATAGCGAACTGCACCTTAATCGTGCACCTTAACCTTAAGACAGTGGCAACATGCAGCACTAATGCATCTACTGTAACTTTTCCTCAAATTAGACTGGCGTGACTTACATCTGCAGTCTCGAAGCAAGGCGTTCCCATAGTAGCCCTCTCTGCACTGGGAGCAGGATGGACCAGCTGTATAATACAAGCACTTGAGACACTGACCCGTGTGAGGGTCACATGACTCAGGGTCCAGGGGGTCAATGTTATTGTTGCACTGACAAGGGCGGCACTCTCCTCCTTGCCTTTCAGGGTCCCCGAAGTAACCAGGGGCACAGCGGTCACACTGTGAACCTAAAAAGTGTGGGAAAATGATTACCCCTTAACACTCAAGTCATTAACTCCCTGGGGTCGGCGGTCCTGCCGGCGGGATCTGACAGAAATTTCGCAAAACCGTTTAAATAACTCCGCGAGTTTTTGTCATATACACATTTTAAAAATACC